ATACATTCTAAGTTGGAAAAAGGAACAGGAAGAAAACAAGTAACACAAAATTCAGAATAGGGGTTACCTCTGAGGTTGTGTCTTAGCTTGAACTGCTGTAACAAATTACCATAGCCTTGGTGGCTTAAACAACAAACATTTATTTCTCATAGTTCTAGAAGCTGGGAGGTCCAAGAACAAGGTGCCTGCAGATTCCTTTGGTGAGGCCTCCTTCCTGGCTTGTTGATGGCTGTCTTCTCATTATGTTCTCACAAAATGAAAGAGAGAGAGGGAGCCAGCTGCCTTTCTCTTTTTATAGGGACACTAATCCAATCACGAGGATTCACCCTTATGATCTAATTATGCCCCCCCACCAAAGGCCAAACATCCAAATACTATGACATTAAGTCTTCAACATATGAATTTGGGTGTGGGGGGCACAATCATTCAGTCCATAGCAGGTAGGAGGAGGTATACCATTGAGGAAGGATCACTGGGGGTTACTGAGGAATTGGTAGTGTTCTGTTTCTTAATCGACTTGTGGGTCCATAGGTGTTCACATAATTATTTTTCAAGCTCTACATACATATTTGATATGCTTTTTTTGTATGCAGTATACATTTCAGAGTGAAAAAGAAGGAGTGGTGATATAAAAATCCATCTGGATAAGCTCAATGCATTGATGTCCTGAAATTTCTGACTCTGTTTATTGTAAAAGAAACAAAATTAACCTTAACCCAGAAAAGAAAGACCAGCTTGACTTTGTCAAATTCCTAACTGTTTTTCCCTGCTAATGTCTTGTGATTAAGGGTTTTCATTCCTTGGAGAATCTAAATGCCAAAAGATACCAAGATACTTTATTCCTAACCTGCTGGCCCACACAAGAGAGGAACTATGTCTTGGTCATCTATTGCCCGAGCACAAAGCCAACCTGCCTGGCTTCTGCCTTAGAGGTCCTTCTCTCTTCTCCTTCATACCCAGCTCATAGAGCTGCCCACCCTTCAAAAGCCATGTTCACAGCTTTGCCCTTCTACAAGTTCTTCTCAAATCTCTCTTTGAAGCAAACTCTTCCTTCCCTGTTCTCCTCCCAATTTTATTTCTCAGTTTCCATTTGCCCATTCTTGCTTATTTGGGTATGCTGCTCAAAGCCACTTCTCTTTTCCACTCTTTTGTGTGCTTATTGGATTGATTTAAAGAGTGATATGATGAGTATTTCATTGGAAATGAAAAGAAATTTCATAGTGTGTCTGCTTTACCAGGCTCCAAAAAGCTGACTTAAGGGAACTTTATCATATAGACATAAAAATATTCACATCAGCCTGGGAGTAACTTCTTCCTTCCTCATCTTTGCTCTTAGCAGCTTCTTAAGATACTGTACATGAAACACCTACAGAAAGCAGATGGTGGTGCTCTCTGAGGCCCCTGAAGAGAGCTATGTAACCTGGCATTATGCTTGCTCTAGGGAATATGCCTGAAAGAAGGAGAGGATGAGGGCTGGACTCTTCTTCCCCTGCTGCATTGACCTGAGCACCCTTAAAACCCTGGTTCTCACCTTGAGCCTGGCAGATTTTTTTTTACAGTTGTGGGGCTTGCTCTTTTCATTGTGAAACATGATTACTGTGGTTATGGACAGCAGGCAGGAGAGTGGCAGAAGGGCACATGATGTGGGAGGACAAGAGGGTGTAAGCCCATCCACCAGGGCAATGCTCTAGGACCATGCAGGGTCAGCCTGTCCCCTGAACACCCTGTGGATGAAGCTATAGTGGGCCTTAGGCTGCAGCCTGTTAGCTCTGCTTGGAGCTGCCTAGAGTAACAACAGGGGCTGGTAGTGGGGATCCTCTCTTCCCGGGTGGGGGCCTCTCGGTTTAGTCAGCACCATCAACTGTTGGCAGGGCCTGAGCCCTCCCCTCTGCTGTGCTGAAGTTGACAACTAAAATCTCGCCTTCACCTTCCTGGGATCCCCTAAGAGAAAGAGAAGAGGCACCTCACTCCACCACTCCTGCCTGAGGCCACCCAGGGCTGACAGCTCAGAGGGTATTCTCTCTGTCCTGGGCCCGTTGGGACTCCCCTACTGACCTGAGTCCACTGGCCTCTGAACAAGGCCCTTACTTCTGTGCCTCCCTAGAGGGGGAGTTTGAGGTGCAGCACACTTGGCTACTCCTGCCTGGGGCCCCTGGGACTGACAACAGGGGTTGGGCTTTGGACAGCCCCCCTTTTGGAGACATGTCCCCTGGTTAGCACTCAGCTTCTTCACCTGGAATCCAATTAAGACCCAGGTCTCCTCTCTTGGCAGGATAGGGACCACTCTCTTAGACCAAGGCCCTCCCCTTTGTGAGAACTTCTGGGCACAAGTCAGGCCACAGCTCTCCCAGGGCTAAGACAGGGTGTGGCATTGGGCAGTCTCCTTGGTGATAGGTAGAGTGATCTCTTCAGTCCACATTCAGGGTTTCTACTTAGACACCTCACCAGACCTGGAACTCCACCCTCGACTTTCTGAATTCTTGCCTCTCAGACCAAGTTCCCACCTCTGGATTCCACAAAGAGGAAGTCAAGGTGGCTGTCCAAGGCTGTAAGGGCCTCTGAGGGCTATAGGGGCTTCCAAGGGCTGACAGCGAGGGAAGGACTGTTTGAGACCCCACTGATAAGGATCAAAGTCTGGGTCTCCTCCCTCTACAGAGAACCCTGAAGAACAAGGGGATGATCAGCCCTGTCTGGGATCCTATAGGTCTGAGGACAGCTGTGGCTTAGTCTCAGTGAGATCATCTATATTCTAGGGTGTTGATTTCACCAGTCCTCCTACATAGGGGTCCACATTTTGGCTCCTGCCTACATTAAAGTCTTCCTGGGAAATGTTATATTCGTGCAAACTTGAGAAGTTTCCCTATTTCAAACTGCAGATAGGATTGGTGTCACAGGAATGAGGCCCAGGACAGGTGGTGGGCTGCCAGAGAAAAAGTTAGCTGATCTCTTCCTTCTCTTCACCAACCAGACTTAGCCTCTTATGTAACTTCAGTTCTCATAGATTGACTTTCTACAAGGAAGGGGTGGAGACCCATGATTTTGTGAGCTCCTATCTTCAGGCGATCTGACATTGCATATGTAGGTGATAGTATTGTCACTGAGTATTTTTCTCTTTATACAACCCATTTATTTTGATATTTTTATTGCTCTGGCTGTGTATTCCAAACAAGTAGTTAGTATACAGAGCCCTGTTTTTATTGCCTGAGAAACATCCCAAGTAGTGAAAGTACATATGAATTATAACATACAGTATCTGCATTAAGCTGGGAGGAGTAGGGTAGTGTGGGCTCTAAAAGAATACAGACCACGGGGTTTAGTACTGGCTCTGCCACTTACCAGCCATGTGAACTCAGGCACATCATCAGAGTCCATAAGCGTCAGGTTCTTCATGGGTGAAGCAAGTTTGCTAGGTCCTGTCTTCTAGGACTGGTGGATGTATGGAATGCATGTTGTGAACCCAGCACAATGCCTGGCAGTTAGAGATTTTTTAAAATGGCAGTTATTACCATAATTATTTTGACCTCAGGTGATACCACATACCACGCTGGAATTTTTTTTCCCTAATCTAGAACAGGTCAGACAATATGCAGTGTTCTAAGACCAAAACACAGCAAATCAGTTAAAATGCTGCTTAGTAAATAAAACTAAGTAATATTTCCCCATTATAATCAGTCATTTGATGTGGGCATGTGGTAGACTCCCCCAGTTAGATGCACTGTGAAGCTATTAAAGGTATGCAAAGGACCAACAAACTTCCTCCCTCACAGCTGCCCTCGTGTTTATCCCATCCCCATTTTCATTCATTCCACCACCATGAAATCAGATCTCACTTAGAGTTTGCTGTATCACACAGAAGAATGCTATATTTGGGTTCCCTTTTAATGGAATGGTCTGGGTACCCCCCACCCCCAGGCCCGGAAAAAGTGGGCCAACCTGGTGACTGCTGGATATCACCCTTATTCTCAGAAACTCTGGACACAAACTGCACAAAACACATAGTTAGTGCACTGTGTTCACCTGCATGGGAACAGAGCACAGGGTTCCTACCCATCCTGCCCCAGGTGGGTGGAGATTTCAGTCGGCTTCACCACATCCCTGAGGAACTGTGAAGAGCAGTTTTCCATTCCAGGCATAGCCTCTCCACTCTGAGGCCCACTGTCTGAGAGATCTGAGAGCCTGGCCCTGCTTACCATTTTCACAACCTCATCTGACCTCTGGCGCAGCCAAACTTAAAATTCTCCCCTCGGAGGACCTGCAGTTTCCTATTTCCCAGCCTGCCTTGTATGGGGCCTTTACACTGGATTGCTCGTCTGGCACCTCCTCCTTCATTGTTCCTTCTGTTTATTGTCCTTCAGAGTTTAGTGTGCTCTTTATATGACAGCTTCCCCTGGGCTCTAGAATGTTATTGGCAGGGGCTGGGTCTTCTTTATCTACACATCCCCAGAGCTAGCATGGCGCCTTCCAGAAAGGCAGAACTCAATTCATGTTTGGGGAACAAAAGAGACAGTGCACAAGAGCTCTAATTTATGATGATTTAATTTCTCCCACATTCTTGAATAAGGTAAGCAAATCTAGGTATATATCTTTTAATTTCATCAAAAGAAAGAGTAAAAGGAATGAGGAAAAGGAAGAATTAACCACCTTTTACTTTTATTTTTCATTCTCTCGTTATCCCAACTACTTCACTGTGGGGTTCTTTCACATTTTAAAGAAAACTCCTACCCACTGGTGCTGGGCCACAATAAAAGATGCAAGGGTTTTCAATTTGTTTTTACAAAATACAAAACTATTACTCTCAAGCTTAACAAATAGCAATAAATAGGTGAGCCATATTATTCATAACCTTAGATTCATAGCTTTTTTAAAAGGAACACATTGGAAAAATAAGGGAAAAAGAGGCAAACCTGTAAGTTAATTATGAAAACAGAACACAAAGAAGAGATAAACTGTGCTCTCTCTAGCCCCATCTTGCCCCCGGGACTTAGAGGGTTGACAGGACTTCACGGGCGCTGGGAGGAGCTGCTGGTCTTGGCCGGAGCGCGGGCCCTGGCCGCTGCTCTGGCTCGGGCGCGCTCTTCCTCATCTCTCAGAGCCTCCTCATACTGGGTTGGGAAGGCGCTGGGGGCTGTATTATTGACTTTGGCCCAAAACTCCAAGACTTTCATTTTGCTGGTTTCACTGTAGGCTTTTGGGCCCCATAGGAATTCGTAGCATCCAGGATCACTGTCAGGCACCTGGCGGTACTCCAGGAACTTTTGCTGCACCAGATCTACGGTGATGAGCTTCCTGGGATCCCCGAAGATGAAGTGCCTCCTCTCAGCATAGACCCCCATCATATTCAGGAATTCCCACATCTCTTCTTCGGTGACACGGTTGCCGTTCAAGAAGATCACACCCAGGAGAGGCATCAGGAGTCCGTTCTTGGGAAGGCCCATGCCACCGTCGCTCAGACTCTCTTCAATGGGAAGATCCAGTTTGCTGACAAGGATATAACAGTGACGAGTGGGGTCAACTTCCTTCAGGTCAAGGCCAAAAGCCAGCTCCATGCGCTCACTGGCTCTCTGGAGGATTTCAGGAAAGTGCATCTTGTACCTTTTGTTGATAACCTTTAGTATTTCTTCCTTTGTAATGGGCTCTTTCATTTTATACTTGTGCAACAGAACCTGCACTAACATGCTTACTTTATTGGCCAGAGGATCTTCTCTATAGCTCTCTGAAGAGGGCGGGGCCCTGGAAGAACTTGACCTTTCCTTCCTTTGGCTCTTGGCACTTTCACCAGAACTCATGCAGGAAATGGTTGCAGCAGAAGTGGAGGCCAGGACTCTCTGAGACTTCTGGGAAGTGCCTGCAGCAGAGGAGCTGGGGGGTGTACCCTTTGACATAAGCGAGGGGGGTGCGGGAGACTCTTCTTCCCCTCCTGCAGTGGCCTGAGCATCCCTGTGACCCTGGTCTTTACTTTGGGCTTGGTGGCGCTTCTCACGGGCACGAAGCTTACTCTTCTTACCACGAGGCATGACTGTTGTTAGGGGCAGAAGGCAGAAGTGTGACAGGGAGGCACGTGACACAATCACCTGGAGGAGGATAAGAGGATGTGAGTCCCTTGCACAGGTAGATGCCATGGTGGGTTTAAGAATGTCCCTCTGGAGCAGCCTGTGGAAAGGCCTAGTAAGGAAGGAACTGAAAACTCTCTAGCTCGAACATAGTGAGGCAGGCTGGAAGAGACATGTAATTATATTAAGGAATTTTGATTTCACTCTAAGGATACTTGAGAGCCAGAAGAAATTTTGAGAAGGAGATTTTATAAAGATTGGAGAATTAGGGAAATGAATCAGGTGACGGTCATTGTAATCCAGCAATGGATAATTGTTGACGAGGAAAGAGGAATGGCAGTGGCATTGCTCTAGTGGGTAGGACTTTGAGATCATTAGGGGATAGTGGAATCCAAGATAACTTTTGGGAAAACTGGGCAAATGATGGAGTCATATAGCAATTGAAAAGAGCAACAGAGAATTACCTAGCTGTTGTGTATAATTTATATAAAATTAAGTATGAAAACAGCAAAAGACCACTGGGGGGGGGGGAGAATGCCTCTTTTAAGGTATACGCAGGACACTGTGGTAGGACTCCACAGGGGTCTTATTCTCCTGGCCAGGCTGTCCCCTGAGGACCCTGTGGAGGTGTTAGAGTGCACTTCAGGCTGGAAACTTATGAGCAGAAGTCAGCCACACAGCTCTGCCAGGACCTCCCAGAGCTGGGAAGAGGGGAGCACTGGCTATGCATCAGTTCATGTTTGGGGTCTCCCCTTTTATACCTGACTAGTCCTAGAAGTCCACCATCCACTGGCTGGAGTTTGTTCCCCACAGACCAAGATCCTCACATTCTGGGTGAGAAAGTCAGGGTGAGGTACATCTGGGTAAGAGGATATGGGACCTCCAAGGACTAACTGCCGAGGCTGTATAGGGTCTGCAAGGTCTAACAGCAGGGACGGGACTATTTGGGACCCCAATGACAAGTATCAAAGCCTGGGATTCCTCCTTCTATTGATCTGGGTTGGTCAGCCTCAAAATGGAATTCACTTCCTTTGGTCACTAGAGAGGAAGTACGGGAACACTGAATCTGGCGATGGGTGCCTGGTGCTCCCAGTCCTGGTCCCTCCTTCTTTTGTAAGAGAGGTCCCCTCTTTAGTATTCAGGGTCTCACCAGGACTACAGTTGGGGTCCAGGTTTCCTTCTTCAACAGAACTGTGGCCGCCGCGCTTAGACTAAAGCCCTCCCGTCCGTGGTGCCATCCACACATAAATAAGCCCAATTGTACTGGGGCTTCCCACTGCTAACGGTAGGGCAGGATTTTGTGGCGCTCCCTTGCTGATGGGCAGGATGTTCACATTCAGTTCACGTTGCGGGTCCTTGTCTGGATACCTGACCACTCCTTGAATTCTACTCTCCACCAGCCATACACCAAGTTCCTCAGCTTCCTGAACCTTCTAAGGCGGAAGTCAGTGAGCCACATCCGGCCAAGGCTGCTAGGGGGTCACAAAGGGCTGTCAGCAGGGACAGTTCTATGGAATCGCAAACATAACAATCCAAGCCCGGGGGTCCTCTCTCCACTGACTTGAGTCCACCAATCGCACACCCTCCCTGAATTCCTAGAAGGGAAAGTCAGGTTCATCACCTGTGGCTACGCCTGACTCGACCTCCCACGCCTGTGGGCTGGGGCGGCGCCCTGAGCCACCTTATCTCTTGCAGACAGGTCTTCTATTTAGTATTAAGAGTCCTCACATCACTCCTGGTAGGGCCGGAACTCCTCCCTCTGCATAACTAGGCTGTTCTCTTTCTAACGACACCGTCCACTGCTAGCACCCTCCCGGCAGAAATGGGGAGCCCCTGGGCGGAGCACTGTTTGACTTAGACTAGGCACAGAGTGCAGGGACAGTGTGATCCTCTCTGCTGGTACGGTTCCTTCATATCACTGGTTCCTTTCGCTCTGAAGCATTGGGGCCCACTTCCACTAGACCAAGGCTTTCTTCTCCCTGTAAATGAGGGGGTCCTCAACCTGACAACTGTGCCTGGACCTCTCAAGTCAGGAGGAGGAGGCAGAATTTTGTACCGTCTCCTCTGTTTGAGTGCGGGTAATTCTTTCATTCTTCCCTAAAAATTCATCACCTTGACACCTGACTAGTTCCAGACTCCACTCTTGGAGGACCTGAGGCTGCACCCCTGAGATCAAGGCCCTCACCCTCTGGGACTACAGAATAAAAAGTCAGTGTGAGCCAGATCCAGCCACAACTGTTGAAGGCCCCCACTGGTGGACAGCCGGGGGTGGGACTCCATAGGACCCCATTGTTCTGATTGGGTCCTTCCCCCGTTCCTCATCAAGTCCTCACCTCCAAGTCTATCAGAGGCTTCCACTCCTCCCTTTACTGACCCGAGGTCACCTTCCTTAGACCAAGGCCTTCTGTTCCTGAGAACCCTGAAGGATAATTGAGGGGATGCTCAGCCTCACAGGCCTGCCTGGGACTTGATACGTCTTGGACAAGCCATAGGCTAGTCTCTGAAGGTAGTCTACATTCTGGAGCGTTGGTCTTCCCAGTACTCCTTCCTACATGGGGGGGTCCTCATTTTCACTCCTGTCTCTTTCATTGAAGGCTTCCAGGGAAATGCCATATCCCTTCAAACTGTTGAGCATTTTTCCCACTATAAACTCTGCAGAAAATTCTCCCTTGTCCTGGAGTTATGAGAGATGAGGAAGTTGTAGTCCAAGGCAAGAGGCCCAGGACAGGTGGTGGGCTGCCAGAGAAAAAGTTAGCTGACCTCGTCCTTCTCTTCACCAACCAGACTTGGCCTTGTACATTACTTCGGTTCTAATACATTGACAAGGCAGAGGTGGAGACCCATGATTTTGTGAACCCCTATCTTTTCAGGTGAACTGACATTGCATATGTAGTTGATCAGGTGGTCACCAAATACTATCTTTTTTTCTTCATTCATACTCTTTATTTATATTCGTATTTATGTTGTTCTGGCTTTGTATTCCAATCCAGTAGTTAGTACCCATTTTTCTTTTTACTCCCTGAGATACATTTTACAGTAGAGAGAAGAGAAATGAATTCAAGAGATACAAGGCTAGGATGAGCTGGATAGTGTGGTAGTAGTTTTGTTTTAAATAAGCCATTTTGGGGACTGTACATGAGAAAATTTACTTTTGTCTCTGAATGTATTTTATCAGAATATTCCCTAATTAAAATTAACCCTTATGCTGTGGACTGAATGTTTGTGGCTCCCCCATTCATATGTTGAAATCCTAGCTCCCAAGGTGATGGTATTAGGAGGTGGGGCTTTTCGGAGGCGATTAGTTCATGAGGGTGGGGTCCTCATGAATGGGATTAGTGCCCTTATAAAAGCAGCCCAGAGAGCTTCCTTGTCCCTTCTACTGTGTGAGACACGGTGAGAAGGTGTCATCTCTGAACCAGGAAGTGGGCTCTTCCTATACCTTGATCCTGGATTTCCCAGCATCCAGAAATGTGAGAAATAAATATTTTTGTTTATAAGCTACCCAGTCAATGGTATTTTTTTTTATAGTAGCCTGAACAGACTAAGACACTTGACCACCGACAGTGATTGATGTACATTAAGGAGCTCTCAGAAGGCTCACCTGTCTGCCATTATAGGTTGGGGAGCCGTGGTTACTTTCATTCATATCTGGAGGAGACAATTTTTTAATAATGGTGAATTATGTCAGCATTACCTGGTGTTGCTAGTTAGGGTGTTTCCTACAGTTTGGACAGCTGCCTCTTACAGGCACTGACCTCTATTCAGATGCTTGCACCTTATAAACCCGCCCAAGATGCTCACCAGCCCACAGCATGGTAGAAGGGAATCCATGTCCAGCTGGAAGATTAGTGCTGGCATAGGCATGCATTTTCATTGTTGATGAGTGACTCTGTACTACAAATGGAAACTGTTTTTGACAATCCTATTCTGAATGATAAGTAATGTAAATATCAATATATGCCTAAAAGGCATACTTGATAATTTGTCATTGAATACCTTTCTATGAACCATGAGAATGGCTTATTTATTCAAAAGTTAAATACATATTTTAAAAATTTAAACAAAACTCTAGTGTTCTGAGGAATCACCTCGGGTGCTTGTTTTAAGATGCAGATTTTTAAGTCACATCCCCAGATGTTCCAAGTAAATAAGAAATTGGGTAAATCTGTATTTTGCAACAAGCAGCCTGGGTGATTCTGATGTAGATGGCTCCAGAACTAAGGAACTGTAGGGCATATGACCACAGACTACATTCATGCAGCAGATATATCTTTATTGAACACTGAATACATGCATCTGTCCATTTCATAAATTATGCTTTATTATATTAAGAAATAAAACACATTTATCATCTATGACTTGAATATTCAGCTCACAACACTGGATTTGACTTACTGTGCAAACCATGCACAATGTGGTAGAAGCACTGGAAACAGTTCTTGAAAAATAAGTATACATTCAATGAGCACACTTCATAGATAGAATTTTAGATGGTCACACAGTTAAGTTTGCACATTTAAAAAGGATCTGAATCATTCATATTAATATTGTGAATTTCTTATAAATTATTCATTAATGTAAGTTGTCTAGGCAAAGCCAAGCCATGACATTATTTATACTAAGTACCACACCTGGAAATTGTTCTGAGTTATTTAACACAGAGCACATTTTTAATGCAATAAATATTTACAGTTAACAAGTACAATGATAATTTACAAAATATGTGTCTAATATTTAAAACAAAACAGAGCATGACATTAAACAACTTCGTGCCATATATTTTTACAACTCAATAAATTGATTATTTCAACAAATTTTATTACCTACAACCCTGCTGACTTGGATGCAAGAAAGGTCATGTTTGAGTCAGTTAAGCCAGGTTACAGAAAAAAACGTTTTTGAAGAAAATCAGCTTTACTTTCTTAATGTTGTACATTATCAATAGCTAAAACTGAAGCAAAGTAATGAAAAAATTTGGATTC